TCCTCATCTCTTGGCTAAAATTAAGGATAGAAAGCAAAATAGAGTTATGGTGAGTTATACCGTTTCTGCTCATAAAGCATATATATGCAAAATGTTTTCTACATTTACACGCACTTGTTTTGGCAAAAACGAACTTGAGACTTCTCGCATAACCACCAAGGAAACGAGTGAGCCATTGGTTTTAGATTCCCTTTCAGCATCTCTAATAACTTCGACTTCCTCTTGGTTGTTTTGCTCACCTAAAATGTCATCGCTGTCTTGTGTAACTAAATTTCTGCGTATTCAGGGCTCGTATGTGGTGAGCTGGTCACAATAAAGAGGTTAGAAAAATACAATTCAGAAAAGGGTCTCCTACAAACGAATTCACTTCAGTACCGGTACGTACCGCCCGACCGATAATGTTAAGGTACCCTAATGAAGCCATTCATATTGCAGCTTTTTCTTCTTCCCTCTGTTTTCGCTCTTTATCAATTCTTTTCCAAAATCCAGAAACAGCCGCTGATTTTTTTCTCTACCTTTCAAGAGAGGAAAAAAGTAATTACAGGAGTAAGAGTGAAAAATTACATTAGGCATTACGGCTTTATAGATATAGATCCAGATCATCCGAGCCAAAAGATCATCACAAGAACAGCCATAAGATGTTCTTGCTGAATGAAATGAAGTTCAATATCTGAGGATCTTAGCTGAACCAGAAGTTCATTACAAGAACAGCCATAAGATGCTCTTGCTTGGCTAAGCCTAAATCGATCTTCCACCGAACCAGAAGTTCGTCACAAGAACAGCCATAAGATATGCTTGTTAGGTAAAAGATTGGAAAGTCGTAAACCTAAAGAAGAAAAAACAACCGCCTGACCTCAAACTTATCTGTAACGACAGCGATCTTTGCGTTGGCTTCATAGTTCACAATTTTCTGAAGAGTGGCCAAATAACCATCGTGCTCAAGCTGGCAATCTTCCGTAATAGAAGATTGTTCTTCTCGCCGGGTAAGATAGTCGTAAAGGTAATTATCAGAATTGTTGTTGAGTATGGCCCGGACGATTACTGCCCTGTCCGTTGCGTCCATTTTGGATAGAAGTCACGTTTTGGAAACCAGATTATCAATCCAAATCTAGCACTATAATTGGACGGAAAGTGTGATCACGTGATGATGACGACACGCGTCTTTCCTTCGATGTAAAATCACATGTGGCTGCTTTGGTCAGAATATAATGATAAGCTTTTTGAATAGTGCAAATGGTTTGCTCGCGATTAGAAGAAACCATGTACAGTCAACTCTTGTTATAACGAACTCTATGTCCTAGACCTCAACTTCGCTATAAGGTTATAGTGAAGATTTTAA